TCCCAAAGCCTTGTGAATAATTACCAGCACCAAATACACCAAGGTGCCTTCATCCCCCATACACCTGGGGGAGGCAGTGGCTACAGACCACCTGCTCCCTGTTGTCATGGCAAATGAGCGCCTACATCATCAATAAACAGGATTTTGATAGCAAATTAATGCCACCTTCGAGAAGAACCACCAGGCATGGAGCCATCTGACAGCTCAGTCAGGTGTAGGGCGTTACACCCATCAATCCTGGGAGTCAGTTGTCTGCGTTGGTTCCTTAATAAGAGCAAAACAGAGCAGTGGGCAGCCAAGTCATCCTGCCAATTACGTTTGCTGCGTCTCATCAGTCTCAAGAGCCCTAATAAAACCTCCAGGCGCTGCAGACCGAGATGGATTATCTCTAGAGAGATGTCAATATGCTTCAAAATAAGAATCCTTAATGAGCTGGCCATTACTGCTAACTTAAAGCCTGTGCACACACAAATACACGCATTAAATCTGTGGCTGCTTCATCTCAAGAATCCAGGAGGTTCTGAAGCAGGAAAACAAAAAAATATATTGAGCAGTGTGCAGACCAAGCTTGGAGGAGGGGTGAATGCAACATGATATCAATGGGAGTCTTGATGTTAAATCACCCCATCAACAATGGCTTTGATGTAGGTACCAATTCCCACCTCTCAACACCTGGAGGAATGTCAATGTTACAGAAAGTGCAACAGCACATTCAGACAGCCAGCATGGGGCAGGATTTGGGGGGTTATTGCTTTTTTCTTACCTAGTCTCCCTTGAATAAACCCACATTCTCCTTCAGCTCCAGAGGTTAGGAGCAGAAAGGCCCTTCACAGCATCGCCACAAGTGCCAAGAGGTTGAACCACATCTGCCAGACACCAGGGGAATTAACCACCAGAGAAAGGACAGTGACCTGGCACACTGCAAGAGCTCCAGCTCCCAGGTGTTCCAGCATCAGGGATAATTCCTGATCAACCCCCCATGTGCAAAGATGTCCAGCACAGCTGATCCCATAAGGTCTCTGCCCAGAGACCTGAGAAGCAGGTCTGAGAAGCAGCACACTGCAGCAGGGCTCACTTGAGCTTCCCTGCCCACCTCAGTACACATCCAAGTCCCTGTCAGGAAGGATTAATTTTTTTTTTTTTTTTTTTGCTTTAGATAAAAAGAAAAAGGAAAAACCCCACAAAACTCACACCACCAAATATCAACCACCTCACCCAAACGTGCAATCTTTTCATTGCACGTATTTTTTACACCTCGCCACGCTGAAACACGAGTGAAGGGTCATTTAATTTGTATTTGACCAGACATTTAACAAAATTATGATTCAAACCCAATTACTGATGTAAAGTCAAAGCTCTGAGATCTCCATCTTACAAGAGTAGCTTGGGATGCAAGAGCAGCTGCACCACACAGCAGCAGAAAACTGGAAATCTGTGCCAGGTGAGGGGAATGGGGAGAGGAGTGGGGGTCAGGGAAACACTGTGCTGAGATCTGAGCATGGAGGACAGGGAATATGAGCCTAAGGGGTCCCACATCTGCTCCCACTTACAAATACAAACGTCCTTTGCATCACACTCTTACAGTTGGCTGGCAAAACACCTTGAATTACACCCCCCCAAAATCCAATCAGGGTAACAGACATAATGATCAATAAGTACACCAAGGGCAAGTATGTTCATCCCACTTCCCAACCCTCCAGAAACAGCCTCTACAGCAAAAGCAATTAGCAGAAATCAAGTTTTACTCCAGCCTCATCAAAACTGGCCTCACGACCACTGACTCTCAGAAGAGAACTGGACTTTAAGACTGTTTTTCCTGTTTATTTTGTCAGCCACTGTGGAGGTTCAGTAGCTTTGGGTCATCCCATCCTGCCAGGGACCCCAAAGCACTGGAACTGAGCATGAAAATAATGCAGATTTTATACTGCAACCTAATGGGGCCATTTGCCTTATTTGTTTAATTAAGCACCATGTATTAAACTATTGCTGCATGGCCAACCTGGCCATTTCACCAGCCTGGCTTCTCTGCTGAACAAGAGGGAGGTTTTGGGAGGACAGGGACATCAGTCCATCCCTCCACAAGAAGAGCACCAGTCCCTGCAGCCTCCCCCCCAGCCTTGCAGCACTGCCAACTCTCCAGCCTCCCCTCACAGCCCACCTTCAACAGCTGCAAGGAAAAACAAATCAGCATGTAAAGGGATTAAAAAAATAACACACAAGTGTCTGGATCTTAAAGCGTTTCTCTGCAGAGAGATGTGATTTCACCTCTGGCTTTTGAAACGCTGCTCACCTCGGGCAGAAATCTGTTTCTCATTACACACCTGCACAGCCCCACTTAATTCACCGAGAAAGGTGGATGACAGAATATTACTGGGTGTTTCAAGTCTAGCACAACTGTCTTGTCCCCTGGCATTTTAACTGATTAATAAAAGAAATAACCTCTGTAGCGAGGCAGACAGCTGGTTAGCCAGCCCAGCCAGCCAGGTAAAATGTGCATTTATCATCAAAAACAACCTCTGAAGTTCCTAGGTGCGCTGTCTTGCACATCCCTACCCCGTGTCTGAACACATCACAGCTGTGTGACAAAGATGGGTTCCTACATTTTTTCCTCTGAAATTTGGCCTGGAGAGGCTGAGCTGAGCACCGATAACCACAGTGGGGCTGGGGCACCACAGGGATGTTTGTCCCCACTGTGGTTTTGGGCTCACATCCTTTCCTCCCTCTCACCTCCCCGGGCTGCCAGGGCAGCAGCAGATGCTTTTAGCCACCCTGGAGAAGAAGCCAGATTCCCAAATTCGGGAATTGCCAGAGAAGCACCCAACATATCAAGTATAAAGACTGATTTGGGTCTCATCCTGGCCAAGGACAAGCATCAGCCGAGCCTCGCCAGAGCATCCAGTCCCACACCAGGCTCTGCACATCCTGTGGGCTCAGCTTTGTGCTGCTCCCCTCTGATGACCAGATTCTTGCAGAGGTGACCACCAAAGCCATCCCAACCAGCCAGTTCCCCTCACACTCCTCCCAAAGCTGGGAAAGCAGCCAGGTGGGGCGAGCAGAAAGCAATTTCATTAAAGACAGCGGGGCTGTAAACTCTTCCCTCAAACAAGTAACACCTGCCTCGGCAAGGGCAGCAAGAACCTCCTCTCAAGACTACCCCTGGGACTCTCCCTACGTCACAGCTCCCATAGAATCATAGTTTAGGTTGGAAAAATCCTTAGATCATCGAGTCCAACCATTAACCTAACACTGCCAAGTCCACCACTAAAACCATGCCCCCAAGTGCCACATCTTTAAACCTGTTTTGAACTCCCCACGGGACAAATATCACACCAAAATTAGGTTTGTAGGATTATACTATTTCCTTAAAAGAAAACAAAGCAGCACAGCATGCTATTCTCAGCACGTTCTAGGAAAGCTCTAGTCCCCCACACCTACAGCTCCTCAGGACAGTTTATATTTGGAAACATCGGTCTGTGCGGAAGAGAGTTTGATCAGTTTGTAGCCTGGAAAGCCAAGAGGAAATCTCACAGCATTGTTCCACCCTGGGAAGAGGCATCAGGACGTGTTATTATTTACTCTGAGACAGCACCAGGGCTGACACAGGCTGGTTTCACCACACTGCTGGGGATTCCCACTCCGGTTCTTTGCAGGATCAAGATCTCTGATTCCACAAGCGAGCACCAGCACTGACATCCTCACAGCAAAACACCCTTTGCTCCCCAAAGAAGGGCTCCAAATTTCAGAGCTCCTGGCTGTCCTCAGCCACAGCAGCTCCCCCAGCACACAGGGTTATGTCTTGCTGGGTGAGGGGGACAAACAAAAAACTCCAGGAGAAGCAGGGAAAGGCACTTGCCAGACGAGCAGCGTGCTTGCACAGCACACGAACAGAACTCGTGTTTGTATTTTACGCTGTTTATCTTTGAAGGCTTCAGTAAAGTTAAACGGAGTCTCGCGTAACCTCACTACCGGGAAGTTTCCCTTCCATTTCACCCCTAAAACCTGTTGTTGTTCAAAAATAAAAGATAACAGTTTACCATGAACTTGTCAATACAGAGGCTGCCGCCGGGGAGGGCAGAGAACCCCATTTCATTTGTTTCCAATCGATTTCACTTCCCGATTCTCATGCAAATACCCACAGCTCAGCTTGCAAAAACATAAGCAGAACATTTAGACCCAAAACAACCTGAGCTGATTTTACTTTTCCCCCCCACCCTTCGTTTAAAAGCTTCAGTCCACCAAACCGACCAGAAAATGGAAACACTTCCATGGAGGGAGCCCTTTTTAATTTCCCAAGCCGGAGAGCCACTATGAGAGCTGGGCAGGGAGCGGGGCAGGGGGCCAGGGCGCAGCTGGGGTCGCTGACCCGAGCCCTCCATCACCCCCGGCCCGCCTGGACCAGCTGCGGCTCCGCGGGGATGCGGCTCCGGGAGCCCCGACACCGGGAGAGGGAACGCGGGGGGTCGGACACCACATGGCCGCGCTCCCTGCCCGGCCGGGCTCGGAGCAGGCTTGCAGAGCACCAGGGTTCGCGTATTTCTATAATTTATTCATTTATTTTCCTTATAATCTTCCCAGCCAAAGTTTTGTCCCAGCGCTCGCTCCTCCCGCACATCCCAGACGAACCAGCGCCTCCATAAAAACCCCGAATAATCCCATCTTCTCCTCTTGAGCCCTATTATTTGCTTTTGTTTCGCCATGACTGTAAACAGAAGGGGGATGTTTCCCTCCTTCCCGGGGTGTGCTCTCCCCGCCCCGGAGCCCTTCCCGTGCGGCCGCGGCTCCCACCGGCGCTCCCCCCCCGGCCCCGGGGAGAGAAACCAGGGGGGCTGCTGGGCATCTGGGGGGGCTGAAGCAGACGGTCTCCCACGCATTCCATCCCATTCACGCATCCCACCAAGTTTTGCGAGAGCAACGCCCGCATCCAGGGATCCAGGGAAGGGCGTGCTCGCGGGGGTCCCCCACCCACCCACCCCTCCATCCATCCATCGATCCCCTCCTACCTGGGACATCTGGGGCCTGAAGTTGATGTCCTTGAGGTCGATGGAGCCGGGGGAGAGGTTGTGGAGCAGCTGGCAGAGCAGCACCCCGTCCCGCAGCGCCTGCGCCAGGTCGAAGACCACCGCCGAGGGCCAGACCACCCGGTGGTTCGGGGGCAAAACTTTGCAGTCGATGAGCCAGCGGCCGCACTGCCGCCACTCCTCCATGGCCGCGGTCTGCTCACTCACCCGGCCTTCCTCCTCCTCCTCCTCCTCCTCACGGAGCTCAGGGGCCGCGGGCGGCTGCCCCAGGGGCCGCTCTGCACCGCGGCTCCGCGCTACCGCCCCGCTCCATCGCCGCCCGCCGCCCCGGAGAGCATCGCTCCGCGCCGGGGCTCGGAGGAGGAAGAGGAGGAGGAGGAAGGAGGGCGGCGCGGAGTTTTCCGGCGGAGGGCTGCCCCTGCCCCCGCTGCGGCCCCACCGCCTCGGCCGGGGTTAGGCGCGCCGCATCCTCCGGGAACAAAGCCGGGGATGGACGGACGGACGGACAGCCAGCGCGCACGGCGAGGCCGCCCCCGCGCAACTCCTTCCCCCTTGTCCTGAGGAAACTTGCGCCGCCGAGGGACCCCACCTGCGCGGCCGAGCCGGGGACCCGCCGTGGGTGCGAGTTTTCTTCCCGCCCCGAGCAGCGGGAGGAGCCCCCGCCCCGCCCCGCCGGGGGGGGGCCCCCGCGGGGGC